ACACCATAAAAATTCTAGAAGAAAACCTAGGCAATACCATTCAAAACATAGGTGGGTAAGGACTTCATGACTAAAATATCAAAAGCAATGGCAACAAAAGCCAAAATAGACAAATGGGATCTAATTAAACTTAAGAGCTTCTGCACAGCAAAAGAAACTATCAGTAGAGTGAACTGGCAACCAACAGAATGGGGAAAAAAATGTGCGATCTACCCATGTGACAAAGGGCTAATATCCAGACTCTTTGTAGAACTTAAACAAATTTACAAGAAAAAAAAAAAAACCTCGTCAAAAAGTGGGTGAAGGACATCAACAGACACTTCTCAAAAGAAGACATTTATACAGCCAATGAACATACTAAAAAAAGCTTATCATAACTGGTCATTAGAGAAATGCAAATCAAAACCACATGGAGATACCATCTCATACCAGTTAGAACGGCAATCATTAAAAAATTGGGAGACAACAGATGCAGGACAGGATGTGGAGAAATATGAACGCTTTTACACTGTTGGTGGGAGTGTAAATTAGTTCAACCATTGTGGAAGACAGTGTGGTGACTCATCAAGGATCCAGAACTGGAAATACCATTTCATCCAGCAATCCCATTACTGAGATATGCCCAAAGGATTATAAATCTTTCTATTATAAACACACATGCACACATATGTTTATTGCGGCACTGTTCACAATAGCAAAGACTTGGAACCAACCCAAATACCCATCACTGATAGACTGGATAAAGAAAATGTGGCACATATACACCATGGAATACTATGCAGCCATAAAAAAGGATGAGGTCACGTCCTTTGCAGGGACATGGATAAAGCTGAAAACCATCATTCTCAGCAAACTGACACAAGAACAGAAAACCAAACACCGCATGTTCTCACTCATAAGTGGGTGTTTAACAATGAGAACACATGGACACAGGGAGGGGAACAGCACACACCAGGGCCTGTTGGGAAAAAGGGGACTAGGGGAGGGATAGCAGGGGATGGAGGGATAGGGAAAGGATAACATTAGGAGAAAATCTAATGTAGATGATGGGGTGATGGATGCAGCAAACCACCATGGCACATGTATACCTAGGTAACAAACCTGCACACTCTGCACATGTACCCCAGCTAGTTCCAGACAGGTGTAGCATTACTATACAATATTATTTTAATAAAGAGGTAGCCATCACTTTTTCCCACGTTTTCTCCTTGTAAAATATTAAAATACTGCATAGGTCCCCTTTGACAATTGCCTCATCTTAGTCCCTCTTCCCTCTTCCCATGCAGTAATCACAGTGGCTGTAGTAAATCTACGTTACAAGTCTTTTTTGTACATCTATGCACATATTTATGTAGCCACAGAAAATCAGAGTATTGTATATGCTGTAACAATATGAAAGACTATATGGCAATGAGAAAAGCTTAAAATCAGGATTATTGTTACCCAGGTGTAGGACAAAGATGGGGGTCAGGGTGAGCATGTAGGACAGTGGAAGGAACAAGGAATACATGTTAAATCTCTTCCCTTTTTACTTTTTAAAGATTTTTAAAATATATTACTCCCAGTAAGTGTTTGGTTAAACGATCATAAGACATTATAGGTAGAAATGTAAATTGGCAGAGTTTAGTCTGGGCAGCTCCAAATCTTTTGGTGGTATTTTATTTCCTATCCTAGGTGGCAGAGAACAAGTGTGCATCATACTGTTTTGTAATTCTTTTAAGAAAACAGAAGTCAAAATGAACATATCATCAGCAACCTGATTTATTTACTCTACAATGTAGAGATCTATTTCTGTGGACTGAATCATGCCCACCCAAAAATTCATTTGTTGAAGCCCTAGCCCTCAATGTGATATATTTGGAGATGGCCCTTTGGGAGATAATCACAGTTGGATAAAGTCATGAGCGTAAGGTCCTCTTGATGTTATTAGTGTCTTTATAAGAAGGAAATGTTTCTCTCTCAATATCCCCTTCCTACACCCCATTTCTAGTATAAGAGCACAATGAGAAGGCAAGCTAGAAAAGGAACCCTCACCAGAAACCAAACAGGCTGAAACCTAGATCTGGGACTTATTAACTTCCAGGACTGTGAGAAATACAATTCTACTGTTTAAGCCACTAAATCTAAGGTATTTTGTTAAGGCAGCTCAAGTAAATTAATTCTAACAGTAAGTCATGGTGCCATACACAAATGTTTCTCTCCTTTTTTCTAATGCCACAGGATATCCAATAATATAACTAGAAAACGGTTTATTTACCCACTGATGGATATTTAGGTAGCTTACATGTTTATACTCTACAAGCAACAATGCTATAGCCTTCTTGTGCTGTACAAGCCTTCTTGTGAAGACATTTTGTCTCAGGATAGAAATGCTGGAGCATACAATGTCCATTTTCAATTTGTATTTAATAAATAACATCAAAATGTCTCTCAACTGGTTTTTTATGTTCCCATCAACAGCAGAAGAACCTGTTTTCCATGCCCTGAAAACTGCATATTGCTGGTCTTTGTTAATTTTGCTACTTTAAAAAGATAAAAATATTGTCCTTTTTTTTTTTTACTAATAATTCCTTGATTAATATTATTGGGTACCTTTTCATGTATTTATATCCCATTAATTTTTTTCCCATGAATTGCCTATTTATATCCTTTACTAATTTTTAAAATTTGGGTTGTCTTTTTCTTATTGATATTTTATAGTTCATAAACACTTTGGATAATTTTTTGTTTGCTACATATCCTGCAAATAATTTTTCTCAGTTCCAAAGGACATACTGTCTTTTAATTCTGATCATAGTATCTTCAGTTGTATCACAGGTATATATCTTTACTTGTCATATGTTTCAATACTTAGCCTTATTTTTTATCTTAATACATTTTTTGCTGCCTCATAGTCATAAGAATACTCTTCCATATTTTTTCCTAGTATTTTTATACTACACTTTTTTACTTTTGGGTTTGGGCTTTTTCTTAGTGATGTGACATCGGAATTTAAGTTCTTGGAGTAGGTAGTCAATTGTCCCAACACAATTTATTTAATATACCATTCTTTTTCCCCATAATGATTTGAGATGATAATGTTATCATAGACCAAATTCCCTCATGCACTGAGGGCTTCTAGACTTGGAGTTCTTATTCATCTTTTTATCTATACCTATTATCAACCTGTTTCAATTACTACAGTATTATATAAAAGTATGCTATCCATTAAGTACATCCAACTCTTTAAGCTGTTTACAACTGTCTTGACTATTTTTGAACACTTGTTCCTCCATACAAATGTGAGAATCTGCTTGGTAAATGCCATGAGGAGTGGGGGCAATGGGATTATGATAGATTTGTAGGTGAACTTCAAAATACTTTTTACACTGTTTACGCTATTTTTCTTGCCAACCAAACAACTACATCTTTTCCTCCCTACTGGGTACATGTCTTCTAAATTGTTTAGTTCATGTTAATTAGGTTCTACACACAAAAGGAAATATTGGGTGAAAGAACACAGTCATGTTTAAATATACATTACAGAGAATATAAATCCAGAGCCAATCTCTTTGCACTTAATACTCCCTTAAAAAGGTATGGATAGAAGGACTCTGTGTGTACCTACTGAACAAACACTTAGCAAATTTTGGGCTGGTACTTTCATATAAGTCAAAAAAAATAGGACGGGTTTAATATAAATCATGAGAGAAGCACATGTAAGATTATTTTAATCATTTTTCTCATTTTCAGAGTTATCAGGAAACTTACTGAAATCAATCCAACACATATTAGAAATGATCTCAAGAAATCAGATTTGCTTCCCTTACCATTGCTTTATCAAAAACATATAATATTAAAAATTAATATTTGAGAATGTTTTTGTAATTGACTCTCTAGTGCAATAATTAAACTGGGACATATATGATTAAAATCTTAAATCTATCTGGGTAAAGGATTTAAGATTTTTTTAAACTATATTAATTTATTTTCTGTGACTTCAAAACACAGTAGAATCAAAGTAATTCCTACAGCACTACCTGTAATACCTATAGGTACCACAACTTTGTTGAACAAAGAACATTAATGTAACCTCCACAACCAGGCATGCTGAGCACAGACTAAGTATGACATGGTATTAAAGCATAAGTTTGAATATTGTTAGGCATGCTACCACTACAGCGGCTATGCTTTGCAAACACAGAATTACTTAGAAGACTATTTAAGGGTAAACTACAATGTCAGGGATTTGCTTAAAAATGCTATAGGGGCCAGGTACATTGGCTCGTGCCTATAATCCCAGCTCTCCGGGAGGCCAAGACAGGAGGGTTGCTTGAGTCCAGAAGTTTGAGACCAGCCTGGGCAACACAGCAAGACGCCACATCTACAAACAATAAAAATAATATCTAGGAAAGGCAGCAAATGCATGTAGTCCGAGCTACTCAGGAGGCTGAGGCAAGAGGATCTCTTGAGCTCAAGAGGTCAAGGCTGCAGTGAGCCATGACCGTGCCACTGCACTCCAGCCTGGGTGACAGAGTGAGACTCTGTCTCAAATAAAATAAAATAAAATAAAATAAAATAAAATAAAATAAAAATAAACAAAACCAAAAAACCCTATAGGAAAAAAACTGAGATACGTGAGACAGATGAAGAACAAAACACTGGAAATTACTGGAGCTGGATAGCAGGTTCATAAGGGCTATTTACTATATTCCATGTACTTTCATTCTAAAAACTTCTCAAAATTAAAAATTATTTCAGGCTCCAACTATAATGTGCAAGTTTTTTTTAAGTTTCATAATAAAATGAGCCCAGTTGAGCACTGATCCCCTTTCTGCTTTAATCCATAATATTCTATTCCATCCAGGACTTTATCAGTTGTACAAAATGTTCCAAGATCACAGAACAAAGTTTGTCTTCTTCTCAAAGGCATGCTACCTGGTTTGTAACCAACAGCATCAGCCTTCTGTGGATAAAAATGCACTAAAGACAGGAAAAGTCAGGAAGAACAAAGTGGTTACCAGGGAGGAATTCTGCCAGCTGAGAGCTTGCCCTTCTGCCCTTCACATAACAGTCTGTTCGCAACTGAGACTGGGTTCTTGATTCCTATAAAAAAAAATTGGCAAAAAAGATGTCAGAAATGTCTTCCAGTTTCCCACTCAGTTTTGCAGTTGTTTCAGTAAAACAACTCAAATATATTTTGGAAATTCTTTTTTGATATATCAAGTAATACTAATGAAAACCCTTAATAATCATGAGCAATAAGAGTTAAATCAAAAAATGTATGGAATACCCAGTAGAAGAAGAAAAGAACAGATATGAAATACATATTCTAATGTTTTGTCATGTGCTAAAGAAGCAAAGGCTGAATTGAAATACTACATATTTAAATTAGGTTCCTTTTTAATAGATTTCAGAATAGTTTTTAAAATGAACTGAAAATGTGGTATTCTCCTACTATCAAAACTATATATATGCTCCAAGCATTTAGTGGCTACAAAACCGTAAATTCCCTTTAAAGGATAAACATGATTATAAACAGCTTTAAACTGACCTTGGAGAGAAAAATTAACAGGAAAAAATAAGCCAAAAATTTTAAATGTCACCTGCGAGAGAGACAGAACAGGGGAAATGTCCTTCAAATTGGGTAAGGGGGGGAAAAGAGACCAAGTGTGTAAAAGACTGTAACCTACAATGTGGTTCAGATTGTTCCAGGAGGCTAACCATCATGTACAAGTGAGGCAACAGTCCTCATCCAGGAAAATGACAGGACAGTATGAGTGTGATAAACACTGTCAGGATGACAATGACAAAGACAATAGCAGTGATGATGACAATAACGATGATGGTAGAAGGCAATGAAAGTAACTACTTCCTAACATGCTCTAGGCCCAGTGCCAAATTCTAAAATGTATTGGATGAATCAGCTGATCCTTCAATTCTGTCATATAACCGCACTTATTAATCCTAGCGGATTAATAAGAAAACATTTATACAGAGGGTTAAGTTGCCTGTCCAAGATCACAGCACTGAGTTTTAACACAGAAGCAGCTAGTATCAGAGACCACACCTTTCATCACTAATCTATGCCTATCTTTCAGGACATTATGAATACAAACAAATAATCAGTGGGATATAAAGAGACTACAAAAATTTAAATTAAGGCTTCCAGATGACTCCAAGCAAAATCAACTGCAGAAATTTAGCTCAATATCAAATCTTCCACAAAAAAGTATGAAATAGAAAACAAAAAAAGAAAAGCCTAAATCAGGTATCTTTGCTAGTTCTTAATATATTTCTGGATGTGATGATTCAATATCGTAAAGACATTAATCTTTTCCAAGTTAACTTATAAATCCAAATCTTTATAAATTCTCCATCAAAACTTTCAAAAGGATTTCCATGATGCATAAGAAGCTGACTCTTAAATCAAGAAAACTTTGAAAAAGAAAAATGAAGAGGTATATTTACCCTGCAAGATATCATTTTTTATTTGAAGCTATTATAATTAAAAAACAGTGGTTCAGTACAAAATAAACAAATATATCAGTGGAATAGAATAAAACTAAAGTTCAGAAACAGACACTTGTGAATTTAGGTATTTAATATATAATATGACTAGTATTTCAAATCAGTAGGAAAAGGATAAATTACATATAAGAGGGAGAAAGAACATAGGTAAAAGCCTAAGAGTCAGACTACTTTGTAACTGTTCAGTTAATCAATTTATTGCTTCTCAGCTACAAATTCACCCTTTGTTGCCTGATGTGTGAAAATGGATATGGGCCCTCTAAGTATGTTTCATTTGCCAGCTAGCGCAATGGGTAAACTTTGTCAGTATAGGACACTGAAGAAACACTGTAGGAGGAAAGGGTATCTTGCTCACCAGGCTTCACTTTTGGCCCATGTGGTATTCTCCTGTGCTAAGTGCCCACCCACAGGGAGCAGCTTTCTCCAGCATTTGAACACCGCGTTTTCTCCAGCTCCTGATTTGTGCCATAGCAGCATAGCTGAGAGCTCCAAAAAGAATAAGATCATACTCCATCCAGGTCATTGATCCCCACACCCACTCCTCAGCCCCACAGGCACACATAACAAGTGTTCCATGGGGTGCCTGTGAAGCCAGCCAAAGCCCAATCTTTATCCTGCCCAAGGGAGGTTTAATTCCCACAGCATCTTGACCTCTGTGTGCCCACTTCCCAGCCTGATCTTCCCTTTGCCTCACAGGATTGACCCTGCTCACACAATGACTGTAGACCAGCTCTGGCCTGGGTAAGCCGGCAACTTCTCTGCCATACAGTGGATGATAGCCATACCTTCTTCAATGAGGTATGAACCTACTTCCAAATGTGTTCATCTCTGAGTATTCTCCCTCTGCTCTAGAATACATTTTTGATTTGTATTCCCATGTTTATAGTTCTGTTTGATGTTTATAGAGTTACTCTCCTATCACTGCTTAATAACTCTTTATATTAAATTTATATTTAAACTACGGTATGGTTTCTGTCTTCCAGTTTTACCCAGACGAATACAATGTCCTTGGACAAACTACTAAATCTCTCTTGTGTCTCAGTTTCCTCATCTGTAAAGCATAGGCCTCATAAGGGTATCATGAGAACTAAATGATTTAAATATGTAAAACGCTGGGCCAGGCACGGTGCCTCATGCCTGTAATCCCAGCACTTCTGGGAGGCTGAGGTAGGCAGATCATCTGAGGTCAGGAGTTCAAGACCAGCTTGGCTGACATGATGAAACCCCATCTCTACTAAAAATACAAAAATTAGCCAGGTGTGGTGGTGCACACCTGTAACTCCAGTTACTCAGGAGACTGAGGCAAGAGAATCACTTGAACCCAGGAGGCGGAGGTTGCAGTGAGCCAAGATAGCACCACTACACTCCGGCTGGGGCTGACAAAGTGAGACTCCATCTCATAAATAAATAAAATAAAATACGTAAACCACTGTAGAACAATGCCTAGGGTGTTACAGTCATTCAATAAACTGTAGTTATTGTTATTCAATTAACTATGTAGGAAAAATTTTCAGTCATTTCAGAAAAAGCAAACAATGCATTGAGGTAAATGAAAAATAAACTATACATGTGTTAGAAGAAAATACAGTTAAATTATGCTTATAAATTATGAGGGCCTTTAAGAAATACAAAATACAATAGCCACAAAAGAGAAAGTAGTAAGTTTAACAAATAGAAATGTTTAATTCCAATATGATTAAGGATATTATAAACAGAGTTAGATATTATAAACAAAAGAGAAAGCAGTAAGTTTAACAAATAAACATGTTTAATTTCAACATGATTAAGGATATTATAAACAGAGTTAAAAGACAAGTTAAAACACAAGAGGTATGAACAGGTAGTACACGAAGAAATGTTAATGGCCTTCAAACGCACAAAATTGTATTAAATACCAATAAAATTTCATAATAAAAGTTAAAATTAAAACTAAGTGGACCATGCTTTCTTAACTATCACAAAAAAGGGAAAGGATATAAGGCCGGGCGTGGTGGCTCACGCTTGTAATCCAAGCACTTTGGAGGCCAAGGCGGGCAGATCACCTGAGGTCGGGAGTTCAAGACCAGCCTGACCAACATGGTGAAACCCCATCTTTAAAATAAATAAATAAATAAGAGAAAGGATATAAAAGATCAAAACAAATAAATAACCAAATTGACCTAAGTGACACATACAGAGCACTGCACCCAACAACTCCAGAATACATACTCTTGAGTATGTATTCCTTTGAAGTTTACATGCAAATTTACCAAAACAGACTATAAGCTGGGCCATACAGCAAGTCTCTAAAAGCTTCAAGGGATTGGTACCACACATTCTCTGGCCATAGTGGAATTAAACTAAAAATCAATAAAGAAAGCTAACTAAAATGTTTTTAGGCAAATAAACTTGACAACTCATATGAAATAGACTAATTCCCAGAAAAACACACATGAAAAAGAAAATATAATCATATAAATTTAAAAACATTGAATCCTACTTTTTAAAACTTCCCACAAAGAAAACCCCATTAATTTGAAATAATTTATGAATTCCTTCAAACAATTAAAAAAGAAATTATTCCAATTACATACAAACCTTTTCAAAGAATGGGAAAAAAATTCCAAACTCATTTTATGAAAGCAGCCATAACATGGTACAGAAACAAACTATCACACATACAGTCACCTCATTTCCCAACACAATTCTGTGAGGAAAAGACTTCCTTTCAATAGAGGCCAATAGACCATTTAAATATCCATATTAGAAAATGAATAAATAAATGTTGACTCCTATGTTATATATTCAAAAATTAATCTGATCTTGATAAGAAAGCTAAATGTGAAGGATAAAAACAATAAAATTACTGAAAAAAAAGAATGAAGACTATCTTCATAACTTTGAGCAAACAAAAACTTCTTAAAATATGAAGAGTTAATCACAAAAGAAAAGGTTGCTAACTTAAACTTCATTAAAATAAAAAACTTCTATTCATCAAAAGACAGCATTAAGAGACTGCAAAGGCAAGCCATAGACTGGGAGAAGGTATCCATAATACATATATCTTACAAAGCTATTTATATATTTGTATGTAAAATACATAAATACTCCAACAAATCAATGAATTATATAATCAAATAAAAATCTGCAAAAGATGCCAACAGGCACTTCTCAACAAGGATACCTAAATGGTCAATAAGCATATGAAAAGGTTCTTATAAGTCACCAGGAAACCTCAAATTGAAACAATACCACTACACATATATCAAAATGGCTGAATTTTAAAAGTAATAATAATACCAAAAATTGGCAAAGATACAGTGTAACTGAAATGTTCCTATACTGCTAGTGGGAGTCTAAATTGCAACAATTATGTTTGAAAACCAGCAGTATCTATTTAAACAAAACATATATGCATATGTACCTAAAGAAGTACATATGTGACCAGGCACGGTGGCTCACACCTGTAATCCCAGCACTTTGGGAGGCCAAGGCTGGCAGATCACTCGAGGTCAGGAGTTCAGGACCAGCCTGGCCAACATGGTGAAACCCTGTCTCTACTAAAACTACAAAAATTAGCTGGGCATTGTGGTGGGTGCCTATAATCCCAGCTACCTGGGAGGCTGAGGCAGGAGAATCACTTGAACCCAGGAGACAGAGGTTGCAGTGAGCACAGATCGTACCACAGCACTCCAGCTTGGGTGATAAGAGTGAGACTCCATCTCAAAAAAAAAAAAAGACATGTAAAATAATATTCACTGAAGCTTTACTCATAAAAGTAAAAAACTAGAAACTTCATATGTCCATTAAAAGAAGAGTAAATACATAAGTTACAGTATATTCACTCAATGAAATACTATTAAGTGGTAAAAAGTAAAAATCTACCAATACAAAACATGGATCCATCTCACAGGCACAACATTAACCAAAAGAAAACAGACACAGAAGTGTCTCATTCCATACATGTAAATTTTAGGAACAGGCAGATTAATCTGTGGTACCCAAAGTTAGCATGGGGGAAGAAAGCACAAGAAGTATGGACCAAGGAGAAGTGCCCTTCCAGGATTATGAAAATGTTCTACATTTTGACATGGAAATGTTTAATGTCTTGATCTAGGTAGTAACTTATGTGGCTGTAAACATCTAAAAATTCATGAAGCTATACACATAAAATACATTTCATGTATATTTTGCTTGAAAAGAAATGATTTCTAAAACATGAGACATATATTTTATGTACTGATGTGGAAAAAATCTCCAAAACATTATATTTAAATCTAAAAAGTTTATAATTAACACATTTATTTTTTAAGAAAACAAATACAAGCACAAGATAAAACTGTGGTTCTACATAAAAATATAGATAAAAGCACTGTATTTTTACTGGTTAAACCCAAGGGGGAAAGGAAATGAGAAAGAAAAGATTTGGAGGATCAAAGGTAAATTGTATTTATATTACTTTAAATATTTTACAACAAAAAATATAATGTGTATTTCAAATTTTAAAGTTAATATTCTAAATCAGGTCTTAAATGTTTCTAATCTCTCAAAGGAATAGAGGATAATGATCAAATTCTAGTCAAAAACTACTTATAATTAAGATTTTATATCTTAAATTCAATTTTAAAAAAAGAACATTTGTGAGCCGGACGCGGTGGCTCACGCCTGTAATCTTAGCACTTTGGGAGGCTGAGGTGGGTGGATCACCTGAGATCGGGAGTTCAAGGCCAGCCTGGCCATCATGGTGAAACCCCATCTTAAAAAAAAAAAAAAAAAGAAAATTTGTTCTAAACACTATTCCAAGTAGGAATGGTGAAAAAGACTGTAATCATCTTTAGAAGGCATGAAATGGTCACGTGCATAGTTTTCCAAGGATAGTAGGTCATAATGCCCACATACCACTCAGTGCTCCAACTGCTCCAAAATTTAAGGATTTTCCATCCATTATGCTGGCATCACACTCAATTTCACCTAACAGATTTAGATTAGATCCCATTCCTGCATTTGTAAAAGGAGAATCCTAAAAGACAAAAACAAAAATTAAAATATCATTAGTCTTAAAAAAGCATTAATGCCAATCCTTCATGAAATTTTCTAAAAACTAGAAGGTAAGAGAATACTTCCCAACTCATCGTATGATGTCAATACTACTCTGATGTCAAACATGACAAAGATATCAGCAGGAAAGTCAGATCAATATGCTTTGTAAATACTGATTTAAAAAAAAAAAAAGTCATCAAAGAAATACCAGCAAACCAAATCCAGCAAAATATAACAGAGGCTGAATATCACAAGCAAGAGGAAAACAAGATTGGTTTAATATCTGAAAATCAGTGTAATACTCTGTATTAATAAAACACAGGGGAAAACATGATCATATCAAAAAACACAGAAAAAAGGTATTTGACAAAATGCAACATCCTTTCACAAGAAAAACAGAAACAGATAAGGAAACTTCTTTAACTTGATAAAGGGGATTAATGAAACGGCCAGGCCAGGCACAGTAGCTCACACCTGTAATCAAACACTTTGGGAGGCCAAGGTGGGAAGATCACCTCAACCTAGCTGTTCAAGACCAGCCTGGGCAACACAGTAAGACACCATCTGTATCAAAAAAATTAAAAATTAGCCAGGCGTGGTAGTACTCATCTGTGGTCCCAGCTGCTCAGGAGGCTGAGGATGGAGGATCACATAAGCCTGGGATATCAAGGCTCTAGTACACCAGAACCACGCCAAAAAAAAAAAAAAAAAAAAGTCCGCAGTTAACATTATAATTAACAGTGAAAGACTGGATGCCTTCCCCTAAGGTCAGGAACAAGACAAGGATATCCACTCTCAGTACCTATTCACCAATATACTGTACAATCTAACCTGATAATCAGAGAAAAAGAAGAAAGAAAGAGCATCTAGATTGGAAAGGAAGAAGTAAAATTGTCTCTGTTTCAAGATAACATGATCCTATATATAGAAAATCCTAAAGACTCCACTAAAAAAACTATTAGAATTAATGTTCAGGAAGATTGCAGGATATGAGATCAATATGCAAAAATCAATTGGAATTTTATATATTAGCAATAAACAATCTGAAAATGAAATCAAGAAAATCTCATTTACAATAATATCAAAAACAATAGAAATACATTTTTAAAAAGACGTATAAGACTTGTATACTAAAAACTATAAAATACATTGAAAAAGAAAGTTTAATTCAATACCTAAATAAATGGAAAAACATTCTAAGTACATGGACCAGAAGGCTTAATGTTGTTACAATGGCAATACTCCCCAAACTGATGTAATTCAAAGTGATCCCTTATCAAATCCTAGCTACATTTTTGACAGAAATTGACAGGCTGATCTTAAAATTCATATGGAAATGCAAGAGACCCATAATAACCAAACGATCTTGAAAAGAACAGAAATAAAGGACTCTTAATTCTAGGTTTTATAACTTACTATACAACTAAAGTAATCAAGACAGTGTAATACAGATACATAGCTAAGGATAGATATATAAATTGATATAATTGAGAATCCAGAAATACACCCTTATAATCAATTCAACAAGGTTGCCATAAAATTCAATAAAGAAGGTATAATCTTTTCAATAAATGGCACTGAAACAATTAGATATCCATATGTAAGAAAATGAAGTTGGACCCCTATCTCACACTATATATAAAAACTCAAAGTGGATCAAAGGCCTATATGTAAGAGCTAAAACTACATAACTCTTCAAAGGAAGCATGAAGACAAATGGTCATAATCTTGGATAACAAAATAGTTTTGTATTTGACATGAAAAACACAAACCAAAGAAAAAACTAGGTAAACAGGACTTCATAAAAATTTAAAACTTTAATTTCAAAGAACACGATAAAGTAGGAAAAAAAAAAACCAAAATGGAAGAAAAAAATCACAAGTCATATATCTAATAAGGGGCTTATATCCAGAATATATATTGAAAAAAATTCTACAACTCTAAAATAAAAAGACAACACAATTTAAAAATGGGAAAAGAATGTGAACTAACATTTCTCCAAATAAGATCTATAAATCAACAGCAAGTGCATGAAAAGATGTTCACGCCACTGCATTCAGCCTGGGCAAAAAAGTGAAACCCTATCTCTAAAAACTAAATAAATAAAAATCAATTTTAAAAATAGAAAAATGTGTCCAGGCATGGTGGCTCACGCCTGTAATCCCAGGACTTGGGGAGGCTGAGGTGGGTGGATGACTTGAGGCCAGGAGTTCAAAACCAGCCTGACCAACATGGTGAGACCCTATCTCTACTAAAACTATAAAAATTAGCCAGGCATGGTGACACGAGAAATGCTTGAACCCAGGAGGCGGAGGTTGTAGCGAGTCAAGATCGTGAGCCACTGCACTCCAGCCTGGATGACAGAGTGAGACTCTGTCTCAAAAAAAAACAAAAAAGCTTCAATATCTTTTGTCATCAGGAAAAGGCAAATCAAAACCCACAACAAAATACTACTTCAAACCCACAAGGATGGCAATAATTACACAGATAATAACATATGTTGCCAAGGATGTACTGACATGCAAGTAAGCAGAACAATATGGCCCACAACCAGAAGAAATCTCAAATAATAACAAATGCGGAAATGACACCAATGACCAAATTAGCCAACAATTTTAATGTTAGCTAACAACATTAAACTATATCATATAAACATACTCTATATGTTCAAGTAGGTATATGAAAATGCTAGCAAATGGAGGAAAGAAAAAAATCCTATAAAAATTTTTGGCCAGGTACAGTGGCTCATGCCTGTAATCCCAGCACTTTGGGAGGGTGAGGCAGACAGATCACGAGGTCAGGGGTTCGAGACCAGCCTGGCCAACTTGGTGAAACCCTATCTCTACTAAAAATATAAAAATTAGCCAAGCATGGTGGCACGTGCCTGTAATTCCAACTACCCAGGAGGCTGAGGCAGGAGAATCACTTGAACCCAGGAAGCAGAGGTTGCAGTGAGCTGTTATCAAGCCACTGCACTCCAGCCTGGGTGACAGAATGAGGCTCCATCTTAAAAAAAAAAAA